CCTACCACTACGACTACTGAGTCCCTACCACGTCGACTACTGAGGTCCCTACCACGTCGACTACTGAGGTCCCTACCACGTCGACTACTGAGGTCCCTACCACGTCGACTACTGAGGTCCCTACCACATCGACTACTGAGGTCCCTACCACATCGACTACTGAGGTCCCTACCACTACGACTACTGAGGTCCCTACCACTACGACTACTGAGGTCCCTACCACTACGACTACTGAGGTCCCTACCACTACGACTACTGAGGTCCCTACCACTACGACTACTGAGGTCCCTACCACTACGACTACTGAGGTCCCTACCACATCGACTACTGAGGTCCCTACCACGTCGACAACTGAGGCCCCTACCACTACGACTACTGAGGTCCCTACCACTACGACTACTGAGGTCCCTACCACATCGACTACTGAGGTCCCTACCACATCGACTACTGAGGCCCCTACCACATCGACTACTGAGGTCCCTACCACGTCGACAACTGAGGCCCCTACCACTACGACTACTGAGGTCCCTACCACGTCGACAACTGAGGCCCCTACCACGACCACATTGCCGCCTTCAAATGATTGTCAAGAGGCGGATAGGAGATGCTCAGAAAGTTACCCGGGTTCCTATTGTATGTCATATAAAGTTCCTTCGGTATGTTGGGGAAGCAACGAGCTTTGCACCTGCGGCTCAATCTCCTCTTCCACCACTGGCTCATCGTCTGGTAGCAGCTGCTTCGAGGAAGATCTACGCTGCGCTAGTCTTAAAGAAGGTTCGTACTGTAAGTATTGGAGCAATCCATCCAAGTGTTGGGGGATTACCGAGCCATGTCATTGCTAGTTATGTGATTTCTAAGTTTTGCCTCTGAGGTTTCTAATTTTCCATCATTTTAACCTAGTCCTCAAGTTATGTTTTTCATCCGCTTAGTATTTCTCAAGCATAATCTTATTCTAGTTACTAGAGTCTAGTATGAACTCTGCGAACCATTCTGTTGTAGGGATTAGCAAGTAAACGTACATGTGTTCTGAGTTGTGACTGAAGGTATAGGGATACGTTTGCTAGAGTATCAATTGAGTATCATATAAACTCGTTTGTCGTCCTGAGTTCCGAGTTATGTTAAATATGATCTTACCACTCATGGACGAGAGTGCAAAGATGCATTCTCTGCGTTTTTGCACGAATACTCGGTTTAGGTGAAGGTCGCCGGAAGGGAAGTAGAGAGAGGGTGCAAACTGTGCTGGAAGGGATGATGCCATTCCCGTCTTGCTGAAATGCTCTCGATCCTGTTCAAGGACGCCGGTGATCCTTCGGAACAGATAACTGTGAGTTCGAGCCGATGTACAGCCGTTGCAAGTTT